CTTGGTGGTGCACACTTTTAATCCCAGCACTCTGGGAGGCAGAAGGATAGCAAGTTTGAGTTCAGCTAGGACAATTTAGAGAAACCTCATTTCAAACCACAAACAAAAAGGGCTGGGGAGGCAGTTCAGCGGGAGAACATTCCCTGTATGCACGAGCCCCTGCGTTCCACCCTCAGCACTGCATAAATAAATAAATAAATAAAATGTTTTAAAGAATATAGACTCAGTGTTATGATTAAAAATTACTTGAATTCTTTCCTTTGTAATCAAATTGCTATTCAGTTAGTCACTGCTTCGGTTGCAGTCAGATTTAGGTCTGGGTTTTTCTTTCTTTTGGATTTAATTTTTGAACCATGTAAATATTTTAATCAAAATTATCTGAAAAGCATAACCCAAAGCAATGCATTGTCAGAATTCTCCTCCACTCTGTTCTTATCTACCCTCTATGGGAAAGCATTTCAAATGATTTATAGTTTATCTTTCCTGTGTATGTCTGTCTGCAAAAACTCTTTATTTCTGTTTTCTTACCCCAAAGGTGGCATACGACATACATTCTCCTGCATCTTGCTTGTTTTTAACTTAGTAACATATCCTACAAGTCATGTCGTATCAGTTCATGGGCTCCTGTTCACTTTCTTGGCTGTGTAGTACTCCACTTAGCAAATGTAACATTATTCACTCAACCAGGCTCTTAATGATGGGCATTTGGATAGTTTCCAATGATTTCCTACTACAAATTTGCCTTTAAAACTCATCTTATAGTGTCAGAGATGCTGCCACTTGCCTCACAAGTAGAAGGTCCTGAGTTCAACCCCTGGTACCAAAAAAAAAAAAAAAAAAACCAAGAAAATATATCTTATAGAATGGTGGTGGCACAGGTCTGTAATCCCAGCACTTGGGAGGCTGAGGCAGGAGGATGAGACCAACCTGTGTTTATAGTGAGTTTGAGGCCAATCTAAACTACACAGTGAGACTGTCTCTGAAAACCAATTGTCATATAAAGCTAAACAGCACTTGGGAGGCTGAAGCAGGAGGGATTCAAGTGGAAGGCCAGCCTGGGCTATGCGGGGAGTTCAAGGCTGCCATGAACTACACAGGGAGACAATGTCTCAAATCACCAAAAAAAGAAAAAGAATCACTTTATGTATATGTCTCTTCCTATCAGAGAATACACGTTAGGGATAAATTTCAAGAGGTAAAAGTGTTGGGCTAATGTGCATACAATTTAGTATTGCTTATGGGGTTGCACTGGTTTATAACCCCACGTTGATTTGCAAATTAGGTGGATCTTGCTGTGACATGTCCTGGGCTGAGTTCCCTTGAAGGGAGCCCCAGTCCTTAGCTTTGGTAGAAATAAACAGCCTACCATTAGCTGGGTGAAGTGGAGTACCGCTGTAATTTCAGCACTCAAGAGGCTGAGGCAGAAGGATTCCAAGTTCAAGGCCATGCTGGACTATATAATGAGACCCTGTCTCAAAAAAATAAATTAAGAAAAAAATAAAAAAAAACTCTACCCAAAACCCACTCACCTTAAATGGGGGCATGAAGGAAAGGGAAAGAGGCCTCTGAGTTCACCACCCTAATTCATCTTGAGCGAACCACCCCCTCCCCAGCATTCGGGTTAGAGTCTTAGGACGCGCAAAGGAAAGACGGTGCTGAAAACGACCCAGAGAAGAGTGAGCAGTGGAGACAGAAGAGGAGAGGACCTCACCCTCTGAAGCCCAGGTTCTGCCCTTTGTCCAGGGGCCCCTATCCACAGCTCCTCCTCCTGCCTCCGGCTGCAACCAGGTCCTGCCTGGTTTCCCTGCAACCCAAGTTCCGGTGGCTGAACACAGGCTTGGTTTAAGGCGGAGGAAGAAGCAGATCCCGGTCATTCCTGTTTCAACATCTGCAAAGGAAATAAGTCAGAGGTGCAGGGACGGCTCACATAAGGCAAAGAGAAAAGAGGATGCAAAGATGCTGGGAGAGGAAGAAGAGTACAAACCATTCCACAGGGCCCCACAGCCTGCTAGATCGCTGTGACCTATAGCAAAGGGGAAATGATACGGCCATCATGGAAAACAGTATGGAGGCTCCTCAAAAAATTAAAAAAGGGCTGGGGTGTAACTCAGTGGTTGAGTGCTTGCTTGGCATGCACAAGGCCCTCAATTGAGGGCCCTCATTGAGTTGGCTCCCCAGCACCACACACACACAGACACACACACACACACACACACACACACACAGAAATACCGTATCACCCAGCAATCCTACTGCTGGGCATATATTCAAAGGGAATAAAATCAATAGGTCTAAGAAGTACTCCCATGTTTATTGTAGCATTCATGATGGCCAAGAAAACGGAAACCACCTGAGTGCCCATCAACCTGTGAATGCATAGAAGAAATGTAGTGTAGGGCCGGGGACCTAGCTCAGTGGTTCTGCCACCTGCCCAGCAAGCGCACAGTCCCAAGTTCCACCCCCAGTACCAAAACAAGCAAAAGAAACTGTAGGGTACATGTACAGCAGATTACTTTTAAAAGAAAGCAACCCTGTCACTTGTGACACAGGGAAGGAACTAAGCCAGGCACAGAAAGACAGGTTTCACATGGCTTCATTCATACATGGAATCTGAAAAAAGTTACTCTTACAGAAGCTGAGAGTGGAACAGCGGTTACCAGAGGCCTGGCAAGAGTAGAAGGCATGGGAAAAGCAATAGCTACTAAATTACAGTTAGCCGCAAGAAGCCCTTCTGGTGCTAGGGAGTAGGGCTGCTACAAGCAATGCACTGAACATTCCAAGAAAACTAGAAGAAAGGATTTTGAATGTTTTCACCACAGAGAAATGACAAATGTTTGCCAAGACAGATACATTTTCCCTGATTGGAACATTGTACAACCTATATATAGCAAAACATCCCATGTACCTGTGTATGCAATTCTGTGGCAATTTTTAAAGTATATAAAGTTTAAAGATGTATTTTATAAAACATGTATTAAAAAAGAACGAGAAGCCAGGGATTTAGCTCAGTGGTTCTGCCACCTCCCTCCCAAGCACAAGGACCATCCAAAAAAAAGAAAAGAAAGAGAAATGAGGAACCCAGTGGAAAAAAAGCTGTGGGTCTAGTCAGACTGGGCCCTGGGCCTGGCCCTTCTCACCCACTTCATCCCCACTCAGCAACTGAGGACAGGAAACAAAGCCCTGGGAAGCAGGAGCCGGGTGGGGAGGCCTGGGAAAAGGAGGAGCGGGATGTCCCCAAAAGGTCCAACCAAGCGGCTTTCCAGGGACCTACAACACATTCCTCACCTCCCTCCCAGCTAGAGGAGGCCTGGAATGGGCCTGGAGTGCTTCTCCTGGGATGGACAAGGCTGACCCTCAACGGAGTTGCAGGGTCCAAGGTCAAGAGACCTAAAAGAAAAGAGGTCCAGGAGGGCTGCTGACAGAAGAAGCTAACTGGGACAGTTTTGGGATGAGGGGGGCCTGAGCTGCTAACAAGTGGGTGCTGGGGCACCACTGTGCTGAGCACCCCAGCTCCCTTCTTCTCAGGACCTTCTGCAAAGTGAGTGAGAGAATAAGGCTTCCTGAAACCTTGGCCCACAGGCCTTCATCCCCCATACCTGACCTCGCTTCTTGCAGCACCCACACCTTGGGCAAATGCCGACTGCTCTATTCCTGCCCCTACCTTGGGCCTCCCATTCTGAGTTTCATCTGGCTTCGGGGACTGCAGCATTGGACAGATCTGACTCAGCCCCTCCCTCCCGGCAATATCTGGGGAGTAGGCGCCCCATCGTAGAGGGGAAACAGAGACCAGAAGACAAGCTAAGAACCCCTTCCTGTCTCCCTCCACCAACCAGGTCGACAGCCCGGATCCTCCAAACTGCCTCTTCCCTTCAGGACACTCTCTGACCAGTGCCTCTGACGCCTCCGTGCTGGGCGCTAGGTCCAGGCTAAGGCAAACTGTGCTCCTTTCTCTTGACCTTGATCCAGGGACAAGGAGGTGGGAGAGGGAAGGGGAGGGGACTGAGGCTCGGTGGGGCTGGAGGCAGGAAGCCTCCACACCCCAGCCCCCAGCGCTAAGTGCTTCCTCCAGCACCGCACCGAGTACTCAGACAGAGGCAGGGCTCCGAGGGTGGAGCGGAGCTGTGGGAGAGGCTGACACAGGGTGGGGCCGCAGAGGCAGCGGGAGCAGGAGCCTCGGTTTGCGGCACCATCCATCCTGCCCCATGGGGTCGGAGCCTGGGAGAGCAGATTCTCTGGACACCCAAGGGCCAGGGCTCAAAGCCACGGAGTAGGTGCCGCAGGGCCCACGGAGCGGGGTCTCTCCAGTGCTCTGAGCAGTGGCTCGGAACCCACCTCTAGTCAGGTATGGACATAGGCAGGAACGTGGGCTGCGGTTCCCAGGATGAGCGGTGGAAGCGGTGAGTTCAGGGTTGTACCCCTGCCAAGACTGGAGGAGGACTCCCTCCGAGTAGCAAAGAAAAGCATTTCCCCCTTCTCCCTACAGAACACGGGCGCCGATTCCGTGGGCCCTTGCCCACTGAGGAAGGCCACGTTCCCTCCCAGATCAGAATACAGGCAGAGGAGAGCTGTCTGCTCTGGGGGTGCCAATCACTAAGTGCCTCAAAATGAAAGCTGGTTGCGGCTGCTTCCCAGACCCCCTTTTAAGCTCTCCCCGAGGTCCTTCTGCTCCAGGTTCTCGGTCAAGCCTTTCCCCTTCCTCCAAGCAGACTAGCTGAGCTGCACGCAGCTTTTCTCTCCCCTAGCCTCACTCCGACAGCTCTATCCGCTCCAGGTTTAGGACTCTAACCTCCGGGTCCCCTTTTCCAAGCTGCCACCACCCCTCCCACTCCAGAACGGGCCCCTCCGCCACCAGTCTCGTCAAGGTGGGTGACCCGGCCCTCCAGCCCGTGTTGGCCTCTTCCTGCCCACCTCCTCACCCTCCATACCCCGGACCCCGCTCTATTCCATGTCCCAGCCTGGAATGGCCCTGATCTCTTCCCTTCCTTCCATTTTAGGAGGACCTGTAGCAGTCGGGGTCACGAAACCGGAAAGGCAGGAGCAGGGGCACCGGGAGGTGGGTGTGGGGGCTCCGGCCAGGCCCTCCACCGGAGGAGCAGGAGGAGGCGGCGCGGTGGAATGGATCTGTCCTCCCTCCCTCCCGCAGCGGCAGCAGTGGAGCGCCCGCCTATTTCTTCATCTGACATTCTCCCTCGCGAGCCAGCAGGCGCGGGCAGCTCG